AAATGTGTGTAGGGTAGAGTGAGTCTAAGTGACCATGTATAATCAGACAAGTGTTACTTAAATGTTCCTCCTTCCAAATATATAGCATATTGGTAGGATTATTTGCATGAAAACCTGACCTTGTTTAGAAATTCTCCTGCTAATCCTTTCTGTTGAAATCTTAATTCCCTGCTTGTATCATTACAATGAGCTGCTGCAGAGATGTTTTGTTCAAATGATCCTCTTTTACAGTCTCCCTATCTGTTTGTGTGACAGTCAAATATAGAACCAATGCAGTTTTAATTAGAAGTATGTTACTACAGATATAGTGTGAAAGATGTGGCATTTTTTAAATTTTAGAATAAATTATAACTACAACATGTATTAAAATATGCTCTTTATTTTAGAAATAATAATTTAGCACTTTAAAAAAAAAATAATACTAAGGATTGGTAGTGCCCTACTTCCATTAAGGTTTAATTAGCAGGTAAGTTTTAATGTTGGAGGGTGGTTGTTGTTATCTTCAGATATCTACATACATTTCTGAACAACTCTGGCACTGGGACTGTTCTGCATGCTAAAATCACTTTTTGTTTTTGTTTTTGAGATTTGATGGACACTTCTTATGACTTAATTATGGGTAGCTTAAATACTGTACTGAAAAAATATGTATGGTAAGATTATAGTTTTGTCTTACTAATGACTTAATAATGCCCATCTCTCAATTTTACTTATGGTCTCTTCTACTTCTTTCTGAATATGATTAGCAAACTCTACTCCACTATCCAAGTTATGGATTAAAGTGTACACATCCAACAGTATTAGATATGGGACAGACCCCTGCTGTATTCTACTCAATGCTGCCTCACAGTTTGACAGTTAGAAGGTATTACATTATAGTACTAATAACTGGTTTGCTTTGTTGAATCCTTCACCTTAGATAAGATCTTGTCAGAAAGCAAATACTAAAAAGAGAATTATCCTAGGAGCCCTTGGATGGGAGAGCTGGAAGAAAAATCCAAAGACTGGAGGAAGGTGACCTTTGTAACAACGTTACATCTTTCTTTCTGAGGTAGAAATGAACAAATATGTACAGAATATTAACTGCATAGTACACTGTCTTTCAGATAAGATATAAAATCTGAGGTCCTGTCCACAGTAAAAGCCTTGTGGACTGTTTTGGAATACAGTGGTTGATTCTATTATGCAAGTTGGAGGTTGACCAGCATTATATTTACTTAAATTCTCCCTGTAGCTTCATTTGGTTATGGATCTCTTGATTTCTGTTTCTAAACTGTCATGATATCTGCTGTTCAACAGCTAGAATACTTCACTCTGGAAGCAGCTGCATTGCAGTGACTGATAGAATAGTTCCTCTATTGCTTTGAGTCAGTGATCCTCCGGTTTAAAAGGTCTGTTATCAATGCAACCTCTATTCACTGTAAGAACAAGTAAAACCATAAATGTTGCAATTTGAAATGGGATACTTAGTGCTTTAAGAGGATTGACACAACACTTCCATCAATATTAAGCAGAAGGGCTTTATTAAATAATGAGCTTGATAAGAAAATGACAGGCTATTGCAATAAACAAATAAAGCAAGTTATAATCAAATCCAGTGTAGCTCTAGGGGTAAGTGTTTTCTCAGCAATCGTGGGCAAGGAAGCGGTTCTGATGGTTGCAGTTCTCACGGGGTGTGGATCTGTTGCTGAGGTGGTCAGCTGTGTGCAGGTTACAGGGTTCTCCCCTGGGGTGAGCAGGCTGTGCTGGCCTCTGAACTCTTTTATGCTCATTCTTCAAAGCATATTTTCTTGATGGACTGATTACAGACTGGACACAGCCAGTAAGGTGGAGGTCATTCTTTGATTGCATTGTAGATGTTAACCTTTCCAATCCATCCCTAGTGGTTGTTGGTAAAATGGACATGCACAAAATCCTTGACCACCCTGGAGGTTTTAGTTGATTATAACAGGACTTGATTACTTGAGTTTAACACCTTAAATTGGAGGCTTACCATCTAATTAACAGCAATGGGACTTGATTAATCAAATCAAGCACCTCAGACCATGAGTTGGGCACTATAACATAATTGATCTTGAGTTGTTAGACAGACATGGGGTGTATTCAATACTAGAAGCCAGAGATGAGATTTACTATGTTGTACTTCAGGTGGTTGCAATCATGAGCTTGCATTTCTGTGCAAAAGGCACTTTTATTATGAGAGATCATTTACAAGTTGCACATAGGTTGGGACAAGCTCTGTGTCTAGCAGTAAACACTAAAGCAGAGTCCTCAGTATGTAGGTTAGTACAGCCAGGGTTTATGGGAGTTGCCCTGACACACAGAAAAGAGTGTACATAATAATGACTGGTTTGCATCTTGCTCCAGCCTAACTCCAAGAAGAACAAGGAGAAAGAACTTTGTTGACATCACAAACCACAAACAGAATTAATTCCATGAAGCTCCCTGCAGCTCACTTCTGCTTTTGGTTTGTCTGAATACAGACCTTAGGACTCTTCTAAAACTTCAAAATGTTGTAGTTGTAAACAGTAATCCCACTGTCAGCATGGCTAGTAGCTCAAGGAGTACTGGAATTATGGTAAAAAGTTAGTTATGAAAGCTTCCTCCATCAATAAACATTGTTTTATCCATTAAATGAGAATACTCTGAGATGTCTTATTGTATTTCATATTATAAAAAGCAAGATTACCGAGTCAAACATTACATCTCTGTACTATACACAGACTAGGTTAAAAAAAAATAACCCAACAAACCCACCTATTTGATAATCAAAGTCAAGCATGCAGAAGTTAGGAAATGCCACAATCAAGGTTTCCTGTACAATTCAGTCCCCAACTGTGCATGTATCTTAACTCTTTAATGACATGATCACTTCCTGTTGCTCTGATGCACACCCTGCTCTGTTGTCTGTAGGATTCCTGCCACGGTTTCCTTGCACTATATGTAGTACATAAGGTAGGGGATTGCAGAAAGAGAAAGGAGAGGCTTAGGGTTAACCAGGGTAATATTTACCTGCCTTAACTGAATTCTGTCTCTGTCCCTGCCTCTGCCTCAACTCCTGTGTGGTATTATACAAATTTAAGATAAACTTCATGAGTTGCTAAGTTTGTTTGTTTTGTTTTTTTTGGGGGGGGGGTGTCTTTTTGTATTTCATATTATGGATGCTTCATTTGAAACACTATGGTCTGATTTTGAAGTAGTACTGAGTACTCGGATCCAGTTGAAGTTGATTTAAAGAGTAATGCTTGAACATGCGTCTAGGATGGGTGCATCCTGTATCTACAGGGGATTGAACTAGATGACCCCCTGAGGTCCCTGCCCACCCAAGGCTTCTACATCAACTGCTCTATGATGCTCTGTACTCTGAAAAATCAAGTTCTGTACAGACTGTCTCAAAATGGGCACCCAAAATAGTGAATATTCAATCTCTACTCCTCAGCAGCATATTTTTCAAATGGGAATAAATGAGGGCAATACTGACCACTTAAGTCCCTTACTATACTGATGAACATCAAAGGAAGAACCAGGAGGAGAGTAATAATTCAGTCTTTGGAGCAGTGTTGGGATGATAAGTGAAGGAGCCATGAGGCCACACTGAACAAGAAAAGCAGGGGTAGTACTCTTGGCTAGTAAGCTACCATCTGCTGCACTGAAATGAGGCATAGGCCCTATGGAAACCTGATCTATAATAACGTAGTTCTGCCAGAATACACATGCCAAGGGCAGCAAGGCTACACAGGCATCAAGTATGACCTTTGCTAACTGTTGACAGAATAGATTTTACAACCTTAATAATGTTCTTTTAATATTTGTTTTGTGTATCATTTCCTTGGTGATTTTTTTTAAATCAAACTGAACCATCGGATTGCATTTTGTGGCAGCATAAATTCATCCACAGGATTAGACTGTACGTGAACTCGGCTACCAGAGTAAGTGAGAGCAGTAGTAATTTGAGTGGACTGAGACATGCTTGCTACTGGGTTTCATGGGTGTTTCCTTACAGCAGAGAAATGGTAGGATTCCAAAATCTTGGGCTTGGTTTCAGGCCCTGGCGAAGAATATGCCATAGTACAAGCTCTTCTACCCTTTCTTACAAACTTGACCTTCTTCCCCATCCCTTCCCACCTGTCCCAAGCATGTTTCCTCCTACTCACAGGTCCTTGTACCAGTTGCATTCCTGTCTACTTATCTTCATTTCTCTTCCCTGGATCTAGCCCCAGTCACCATCTCCTTGAGCTTCTCATTCAATCTCACTGTCCCACACCATTCCCCTTCTGTTTCTTGGCCCAGACTCAACTCCTTGTCACTTCAGTTTCTCCTCTCTGCCCTCATTTTTTCTTCACAATGGTTTCTACCTATTTCCCTGTCTAGCTAGTCATCTCTTTCTTTAATTTCAGTGGCCCCTCATTTCCCATCTCTTGCCAGTCTGTTCTTCACCCAACCCCTTATACTCATCTACTACTTTCTCTCTTCTCATCCACTTTGATTCAACAGCAAAAAAAGTACAGAGGCCATCTTTCAGTGACTAGGGACAGATAGATGCTTGTGGAGTAAAGAGCTAGAGTAGTAGTGACAAACTCACCTTGTACCCCAAGCTGGATCCAGACTGCAAGACTTCTTGTGGGCTGGATCCAGCCTGGAATGCAGAATGGCAGCAGCAGCTGTGAGTTGTATGGCCACTTGCTATGGTGGAGGTGGCACAAGTGGCAGCAGGCTTTGTCAGTGTGGCAAAGCAAGGGCTGTATTGCTTTGCCACACTGCAAACTTCCCCCACAGCAAACTTCCCCCACCAAGGGTCATGTCCACTGGGGCTTGAGGACCCTAGATTCTGCAGCAGCCCATGCTCTCAAACTCCATGGTCTACCAGTAGCCTGGCAGGCCAGATAAAATATCTCTGTGGGCTAGATCCACCCCACAGGCCTTGTATTTGACACTCCTGAGCTACAGATACCCAGTCAAAAATACTGAGTACAGGTATGTCTCTGTTCTGCTGCCCCTCTCCAGAGCTTAGGCACCTGACTCAGGGCTTTACATTGGGTTCCTTTGTCCACTCGATCTAGAGTCCATAGTTCTCTCCTGGGGCAAGCACCTGACTGAGTGAAGGAAAGGTAGGTGGTATGATAGTCTTGTGGATAGAACCCTTGTCCAGAAACTGAGACTTGGGTTCTAGGCCTTCAGCCTTTCAGACCCAGGCCAACTTCCCCAGCTGGGACCACCACACTATTGTATATGCTGAGGGTGGGGAGCTTTCCAAGGGTCTTGTTGGAGCCGGGCTACTAGATGGCCAAGATTGCAGGAGTCCTGGGACCAGAAGGAAAACAAATAGGAGCTTGATTCTACAGTGCAGTCAAGGCAGCCAGCTGAGGGGGGAGGTCCCTGCTCAAAACTTGATATATTTTGCATTAGAGAGCCATTAGATAAAAATAAAGCCAAAACCCCAGGGATAATTATAAAACCAAGGATCAGAACATAGGTGCCCTATCTCTCAGATGACTGCCCTAACCACTAGGCTGTAGAGAATCTCTTGTTTGATCTTTTAGTGGCCATGTGACTCCTGAATTTTTGGTGGCCCAGCTTCATGAGGAGGGTTAGAGGGTGCCCCCCCAGTTGACATATTCAGTAATGTGTTGTTAATTGCACTCTCCTGGGAGGCGGAACATGGGGGTTTGATTGCCCTCTGGCTAAGGAGGGCCTAGATGACAACTCCCCTACTACTGGTTAAGTGCTCTATCCATGGTTAGGCTATTTATAAAAGGGCCAGGTGAGAGCAGCAGCCTCTCTTCCTCCTGGCTGTGCTTTTAAATGAAAGTGACAGTGCCTGCTCTGCTTTATGTTGGGCTCTATTTGCTGGGATATGGTAGGCATACTCAGAGCTTGTTTTCTGTGCTAGGCCCTCCAAGGGATTTTGCAGGGGACTTAGGTATCACCAAGCCTGCTATCTGGATCTCACAAACCAGAGTACTCAGCATATGTACATAAGCTTTAGTTGAGCCACTTAGAGAAGGTTGCTGCCCAAAACAGGCACCAAGAGAATGTAGGAACCCAGTGATCACTCCTCTCTCTTCCCCCAAGCAAGAGCAAGGGTTTTCTGGAATTTTTTTTTTTTTTACTTAGCCCCCTAAATCTCCCACCTTCCCCCATCCCCTCAGGCTTCTGTAAATTGTACACTTTGTGATTATTCCTCCAAAATATAAAACATCACCAGCTGCATCCAAACTCTGATTTTTGGTATGTAGAAGTAAGATAGTGAGCTCTAAACACAGATCTTGGCAGGCTGGAGAAAAGCCTTTTAGTTTACACTAAAGCATATTTAAGGCACTTGCAGATCTGCTAATAATTTCAGACCTTACAGTTTTTAAGAAAGTGTGTTAAAACAATCTTCCTGACTGTTTAGTAAAGTACAGGCACATAACCCAATGCAAGAGGAACTCAGTGTTGTGTGCCTACTAAAGGAAAGGCATGTTTTCAGAGCGTGGTTTGGACCTTCTGACAAATTACACAAGCTCAAGTGAAACTCCACCCCACATCCTGTAAAACAGTTCACAGGAATGTCCATTGTTCTTTGTGATTAGCAGTTACTTCATATTTCTGCCTGCACTCTGTGTTTAAAGTACTATGTGGAAAAAATTAATGCAATAGAACCTTAGCAGTGCTCGCCCTTGCCAGATGCTGAATATGCTACTCTGATGGAGGCCAGTGTGAGGAGAAAGGAAATCGGCACCTTGCTTGAGGAGAGAGGAAGTCACTCAGCATCTTGCAACTGCAACACAGTATTTAAACATTTTAAATATTACCCCTGGCCTATAGAAAAATAAGTCACTGCTTGTATAAATCACTTACTACACTTTGTTACCTACTTGCCTTTTTGGTTGTTTTTCTGTTACTGTGGCCTAGCTAGTGTTAACATTTTGAGAATTCAAGGTTGCCAAGAGAAGGATTAAACTACACATGCTCCTTTCCAGCAATCATCTGAAAGAACTCACCTCTTAGTGCCAGGCTCCTGACTGTTCAGCAATCCCAGAACATGTGGTGCATAAAATGGGATTAGATGGCAGGCATTCAAGTAAACAGAAATTCCCTCAAAATGAGATTTACTTCTAAGTCTTTTTGAAGCTCCTGTGGTTTTTTTTTTTTTGTTGTGGTGTGTTTTTTTTTTTTTTTTTTTTTTTTTTTTTTTTTTTTTTTTTTCCAACGGACTGTTCCAGGAACACACCTTTTCTGCCTTTTTTTTTTTTTTTTTTTTTTCCAACGGACTGCTCCAGAAACACCCCTTTTCTGCCTTTTTTTTTTTTTGTCTTTTGCCTACAAAATATTAACAATATTTTAAATCTGTATGAAAAAAAAAATCAGTGACTTCAGTTTCCAGTAAATAGTTTTATTTATATCTTTTGATTTTATGCCTGGCAAGTTTGTCCAGTGCACCTTCAAACTTCTGCTTTCAGTTTCAAGTTTGAACAAACTCCCAATCTAAAATAAAATGTAAATTCACTGTGCTTTACCTGATTTTGCTTTTAAGCATTGTTGTAAAATTGCAAATTGCATGCAATTTCAATGGAAAATTATATATTGGAGTAGTTTTCTAGAAATAGATCCAGATTTGCATGTCAAATCCATTAAGGGTAGTAAGCCTTCCAATTAACATGGACTACATGCTGAGTTTCTAACAAAATTGTCTGTGTTCAGTTTTTGTATCCACATTCATTGAAAAAGTGAAGTGGTTTCTGCTAAAAGCTACAAAAATAGTTCAAGGTCTAAAACCTCTACCTGAGAGAGAGACTTAACCAGCTTGATCTAGTGGTTTTTCCAAATGAAGGCTGAAACATGACTTAATCGTGATTTGTAAGCATTTAGATGGGGAAAAGTTTCCTGATTGTTGATATCTCTACTATAGCAGAAAAAAGGCATAATACAACCCAGTAGTACAAGAGTACAGAGGTGAGCCTAGGAAAACCAAGTTTAGCAGTGAAGGTAACCAACTAATCGTTGGAGCAACATACCTAGTAACACGGTCAATTCTCTCCATCACTTGTGCTCTTTAAATAAAGGCTGGTGATCTTTCAGGAAGAGTTCAGGTAGATGTTACTCTGTGTAGTTCTGTGCTCTTTTATTATGCAGGCAGCCAGATGAGATGATCATAGACATCCCTTGTGACCTTAGTCTCTTAATATGAAACTAGGTGTTTTCCCATGTCTGCTGGTGGAAACAGCAGTTTCCTTTACAACATTTCTGAAAACACAACACAGATGTTTATAACAGTCCTGTCAAATGTTCAGTGTGAAAAGTTCCTGCCCAATACAGAAGTGTGAAAATGAACTCCCCACCACCAACAGGATCAAGATTGTGCCCAACTCCTGCACAGGTACATCCCTGAGAGACACCTTAAGCCTTCAGCTTATCCATAAGACTAAATCATGACAAGCAGTGAGGAGTAGGAGGACCTACCTCCTGCTCCTCTGTCCTTCTCAAGTCCCTTTGTATTACTCTTTGCAATAAAAGTTTAGAAGTTAAAAAGGATTTGGGCTGTTTTCCCCCATCACCTTCCAGCTGCTGCCACAGAAGACTTCAAGCTACCCCTCCCTCTTCCAGCGTTCAATTCCTACCCTGCCCTTGGGGGCAGTGGCAGGGGTGTGGTACAGCAGTGGGAGCTCACACCAACCACAGTGCTGGTATCATGCTGCAAGGGAGTGCTTACTGCACAGTGTGGTGGGGGGGACCCACACTGGTGGGTGGACATGCGCCAGGGGCTGTGTGGCCCCACAGCCACTCAGAAGTTGGACAGCTCTGGCGTAGGTCCAGGGTATCTAGATTAATTAAAGCTCTGGGATGAAGACTGCTCAACAATTTTATTCTATTGGCACTACCAAACTTTCTACAGTAAGTAAAGATCATCTGTGCAGGAAGCAGAGCTCTTCTTGGTGGCTGTTACAAGAACTAAGAACTAGGGACCATGAAAGGGCTGGCCATTTTCTGCTTCTGTCTGGCACAATGCTTTGACTTGGCCTTCTCTCAGATAAACTTACATGTGCACATATAAAATGAGCATTACAAAATACAGGTCCAAAACAAATCATTTTATTGCTCACATTCCTCCCCTAGGCAGAGTATAAGAGACCTAATGTATTGGTACAGCTCTGCCTGAGTCTCTATGGATAGTAACCAGCCTGCCATATTTGACCCAGCCTTAAGACTGCACACTCTTCAAAGCCAGGTAGTGCTGCAAGCCAGACCTATCTCCTTATCCAGAATTTCCTTTATTTGGGATGTGAAACTACACGGTCCAAACTGCTTTATACTTTGTCACCAAGGCTCAGCTTCTCACATCTCCCCACCCATCCATGCAAGCTTCCCCCAGAGCTTGATCCTAGTAGAAACTCTGGTTTACATGTTCACCCTTTCAGATCTGTGAAGCAGTTAAAGAGAAGATTTCAAAGGAATGAATTCAACACAAGCATTATTAGATAACATAGTAAAGTTACAACAAGCACTATTAGATAACATAGTAAAGTTACAGGTCTTGGCAAGAAATAACACGCAGCCTCAGTCCTCAATGTTTCTGAGAATCCTTTGCCTTAGAAAAGGCAAAGCCCCCACCTAGTTCCATGTTTTCCATTTGTCCCTTTCATTCTGGCAAAGATGTGGCTCCTGGGCTTATAGAACATGGGTTTTTTTAAAGTAGTTTGTCATACCTTTTCTCTTTCTACCCTTCAACTAGGTAGAGTCAATCAGTGGGCCTGCCAGTAGCAGCTCTGTTTTCCCAGCAGGGGCAGCCCATCCAAATAATGAATAACCCTATTTCAACTTCCTAGAAACAGACCTAGTATGTTCCTGCTGCAAAAGCCAAATTTTAATAATTAACACTGAAAGTTAAAAGAATAGACACTGTTCTTAAAACAAAAAGGAATTCACCATTTGACCAGCATATTCCCCAAACTGCAACAGGTGGCGGATGGTAGTCATGTTGCTTATGAAATACCTGAAAGTCTTCATATATTAGTGATCAGCCTCCTCCCCCAGCCACCCGTGCATGCAGATCACATGGGAGCTAGCAGGTAACAATCCCCACATGTTCCCCTCAGTGTTCAGGGGCAAATCCCCACCCCTTTCTCTGTTCCCCCAGTAATCACCGCTGCTTCCCCAACTGTCCCAAGGACAGCGGAAGCTTCAGAATTGCTGCTCTTCACTCCAGCCAGGCTGCCTGGTGACCAGGCTCAGCTGGGACAGTGACAGTAGCACTGGCAGCAGCAGCGATGATGGGCAGGGATGTGCACTCTCCCATCCTGCCTGGTCCTCTGGGAGCAGGCACTGCTGCTGCTACTGTCGCTATCACCCAAATGAGCCTACCTCCCTGTGCAGCCCAGCTGGAGCAGGCAGGAATGGCTCTGAAACTCCCCCCACCCCTGGGATAGCAGGAAAAGCAGCAGTGGAAGGCAGGAGAAGGGAAAGGGGAAGGAGGGAAGGTGATGTGCTCTTGAGCATGGAGGGGAAGAGAAGGGGGATTCTTATTTGGCTTTAGGACTTTATAACATTCCCAGAGGCACCTGCAGCATGGTCAATCCAAAAGCCATACCTCTGCAGACCCTTGGGATATGCCCCTGACTCTGTAAACTGAGTACCCAACCCAGCCTACTGTAGCCTAGGAAATCTTATGCCTTTCTAAACAAATAAGTAGGGCACCCTCTACAGGTATTACACAATTATCTGGTTAATTGAGCAATTACCTTAAGACCAGCTACATGTGCAAAGTATCTATAATGCCATAAAAAGCTCCAACCAGCTCTAAAGTTAGACCTTGAAAATGTGTACTAACTTTATAGCTGGTTGCCATCAAGTTTTAATTTGCACATGTAGCTGTGTCTCCCCTGTGGCTGTCAGCTAATGGTGCTCCTAGCCACAGGGATGCACTATGCCTAGCCGAGGCTGGGAGTCCTGCAACTGAAGGGACTCCCAGTCTCAGCAGCTGCCCATTCTGCCAAGAGTCCTGCAGCTGTGGACACTGGGTGCTGGGACCCAGCTGAGTCCTGGCAGCTGGGCAGTGTGGCTGCTCTGGGAGGTGCTCTGGGCAGAGGCAGATCACAGCAGCTGTGATCCTTTAGCCATGGGGGTTTTATGCACCCCTGAGCCTGGGAGATCAGCAGCCACAATTCCCCAGCCCCATGGGTTCCACACACCCCTGAGTTTGGGAGATTGTGGCAGCTGCAATCCCCCAGCCCCTGGAGTGAGTGCAGGGGATACCCTGGCAACTGGAAGCCCCTCTGCTTTGGAGGCTCTGAACTGCAGCAGCTTGCTTCTTGCTGATGCAATAAGGTGGGATGGGATCTAATACACAGTCCCACAATCAGGCCTCCTGCCATGCATGTGTAGAGGGGGTCTAAGGTGTCATCCTCCCATCCTTTCTGCCTCACTAATATGTTTAACTACCTGTCTCTAAACGTATAAAAAATAATTAATTCTATTAATAATTAATTCTTCTCTTATTTAGATTGGTATAAATTAGAAGCTAGGGAAGTCAGGCCTTTTAACTGGAATTGTAGAACAGTCATACAATTATTTTTTCTAAGATTATTGTATCCCATTTGGTGCTAGGAAGTTTTGTGAACAATAATGATTCCACTTATCATTTCACATGGAAGCCTGTTGAAAGGTTTACCTTAAAATTAACATCACATTATATTTGCTTCATAAAATATACTGATCTGTTTGCAATACTTTAACCATATCAGAACTTCAAAAGTTTAGGTGATTGTTGTATCATGTTTCCTACATTTAACATGACATAATTTTGATTTCTACTCTTCAGTATCCTTCACAATTTAAAGATCTGATTATTATGCTGAATCACAAGGAGCCTGAGTTTAAAGACTAATTTTATTACAGTATTTTTCAAACTCTAGACAGGATCTGTGGGTATTAAATTCATGGGCTGAGAGCCAGTTGTGAATAACAGTAACATCTGATTGCATTTTATTACCTCATTTTTATATTTTCCCATTTAAGTTTTTACTTGACTTATAGCTAGTGGCATGTTTAAACAAAGCTCCTGTGAAGCAGCACATCATTAAGGAAATTATACACAATATTAGATACATGATATCATTTTGGGGTTTGTTTTTTTTTTACTATAAAGCCAATAAAAACTGTGGATGAAGTACAGCAAATGCAGCAATGTGTGCCTCAATCAACAGCTTTAGCCATAATATAAATGGCCCATTTGTCTTACTAGGTTGTTAACTCTGTGGCCTTTGTCCACTTAGAAAGCTTATACTGGTTTAACTAAAATCTGATTTTAACATTAATTTAGTACAACTAGTGCAAACCACTGTAACTTACAAAATGTAGGTAGATCAGCATAAGCCAGCTGTAAGTGTTTACAAGAGTCTACCAAAAGGGTTGCAATGATACTAAACCCATTAAATAACTTATTTTAGTTCAACCAATGTAGACTGCGTGTAGGCAGACTCCAAAGCCCACTGCTCAGAAGCTCCCCTGACAACAAAGACTGTGTGCACCTTTGTGGTGGGTGATTCAGGGGGGTGAATCCTTCCTTCTATGGGAGAAGACAAACATGCCAGGACATGGGTAGTGGTCTAGGAAAGAATGAAGTCATGCATAATCAATGAGGAATGGTGAGAAGCCCTCCATCAACACTATATAGAAATTTTTGGCAGGTGACCCCCTGATTCCTTGAGGACTGGTAGGGCTGCAGTAAGGAGGGCACGGTTACAAATGCCCTCCTACCTCTATCCAGTTCCGTATAGCACGGAAATGATAGTAGGCAAATATAATATCTTGTCTCAGTGTCTCAGTTAAAATCATTCAGTACAGAAGCTCCACACTTCCCCCAAATTATTTAAAATACTAGCCTACCTGATGTTCTGCTAGGAAGAGGCCAAACATTTATTTGGAACATGAAGTTTATGTTTGGAGAGATTGGAGGGCTCAGAGGTGGAGTAATGGGATGTGAAACACCTCACTTTGAGGTTTCCAGTCAAATCTAGCCCCCGTTGGCAATAACAAAGTGAATCAAAATATGTGTCTGTCCTCCCCAAGTTCAGTTCCTCCTCAAGCTGGTCACCACAAAGCCCAGAAACTGTACATTTCCTAGACACTGAACTCTTAAAAGGAAATTAATTCAGGGAGTCAATGTAATCAATAGAGAGAGACAGTTTCACCAGGACCACAAATGGCCACCTGGCCTCATGGCAATCAATAAATATATTCATGAAAAATCAGCATGTGTGCAGATCCTCATTTCCCTTAGCTAGACCATGAAGCTACTCACAGAATGTTGAATCCAAGTTGTATGGCATGGAAGACACGAGCAGTCAAAGGCAGACTGGAAAAATCATACTGCTATTTGAACACTTTAGGGGGCCAATATTATCCGTGGGCTTACCATTATTGGTCATAATGTTACAAGTGACACTAGAGATGACTAAAACTGGAAGGAGGTAGTAAAGCAAGCTGTGTTCCTGGTCTTTCTCGCGGGTTCATTTTGCATGTTTGCTAGTTTCAATGTTCTCTTTGAAGCTTGATTGCACTTCCTGTCTCATGTCCTGTACTAGCAGAATGACTTCACCCTCATGCACTGCTCGAAGGGAGCTTGGTGGCACGCTCTTACCAACCCCCTGTTTACCGCTAACCTAGCAGAAGCTTTGCTGCTGTTTCTGAGTTTGGATTCCCTGGGCAGTCTCTCTTTCCAGGCTACCAACACAGAGCGAGGCAGCAGCAAGAAGCAGCGACCACTGAGGGAACCCTCTTTATTCACAAGCCATCTGAATGGAGCTGGGAAACAAAGCGCCCTCTTCATCATTCCTTGGGTTCTTACGCAGGGCCAGGAAGCAGTGGGACCTGGAAAAAAACTGTGTGCTTCTCAATAGCCCTGGGATGAGCAACAGAAACTGAGGAAGCAGCAATGAGCTGCTGACCCCTGTGCCAAGCTGGAAGCAACAGAAGCCTTCCTTCCTCAGAGCACCGAGCAGGGCGAGTACTTGGAAAGTTCCTTTCTTCCCTCCTCAGCGTCCTTCATGAGCCTGGGGAGTAATGAGAGCCTGTCAGGAAGGCAGGGCACTATATTCTCATGATCATGATTCCTCCACATATCCCCGGGAGGCTGGAGTATGAGGAGCTTTGCCTTAGGACGGAGGCCGCTGCTGCTGAAGAAAAACAAGCTCCAG